TGAACATATAGCTGAGGAGCCCCCATGGAATTGGATCAGCCCCTCTGGATAACTGAGACAGTTGATTAACTTGAACTATTTAGTAGGCCCCCAGGCAGTGGGACCAGGACCTGTCCTTAGTTCATGAGCTGGCTTTTTTGGAACTTAGGGCATATGCTGAGACATTTTGCTCAGCCTTGGTGTAGGGAGGAGGGGACTGGACCTGCCGCAACTGAACTTATAAGGCTGAGCTGAATCCCCAGAGGAGACAGTGCCTTGGAGGAAGTGGGAATGGGGAGAGGATTGGTGGGCGGGGGGAAGGGTAGGGGGTGAGAGGAAGGAGGACAGGAATCCGGGGCTGATATGTAAAATTAAATTAATTATAAAAGAAAAAATAGAGAAGACAATAGCAGGTTACTGAAGATTTGAATAGGGAAATGGGAAAAGCAGGGAGGGCTTTAATTAGGGGAGGGAGAAGAATATAGAAAAAGGAGGAAGGAGGGTAAAATAAAAAAAGGATATCTGAAAAAGTCATAATGTAACAAGCAATTATCTATCTACCTAAAATTGCACATAAGATATAGTCTGACAGTCACTTATATATTTATATTTAAAATAAAATTTTCACATCTAGGTTGACCATGCTCAACCCAAGACCTTAGACTAACAAAAACTCCAACAGCAGCCATGGAAATCTCCAAGAGACCCCTGAAATAATATAGGCTACTGCTGTTGTCCTTGATTACCTTCTAGATGATGAAAGTAAGACCCTATTGCTGAAGAGGCTATGTACTTTGGATACAGGATCTGGAAGATCAGAGCTAAATCTGACCTGAAAGACTGCTCCCTGAGGATGGACTTTCATGGTACCAGTGCATGCTGAGCAAGCTTCTGAGAGAGGGAAGCAATCAATAGTCATACCAAGCTGTGATGTTTATGAGCTAAATAACAACAAGCATGGGCAAAATCCCTGTGGATGCAGCAGTGACACGCACATCATGGGGGTACCACCATCTCTCTATTTGGATGTAAGACCTATTCATCAAGATGGAAATCAAGTCTTATACTGGAAACCTAGCCAATTATCAAACCTTAGTGAAGTCAAGGGTCATAAGCAGAACTTACAACTGTTCCTTCACTAAAGCATAATTTCTAACTGTATGTAATTATTTATTCTTACATCCACATGTAAGCATAGGTCTCACTCTATATCAAAGAAACATTGCCTTGCAACAGATAGAGAACATTACAGAAAACTGCAATGAAAGACTGTAAGATACAAAGCAATGGGAAGTATTTTGTGAGACTGTGTTACCTAGAAATGTGAGAGAAGCTACTTCCATGAACCCTCATCAACATGGCTGACCTGAACAAAGATGATATCAATAGACAAACCAACATGTAAAGGGAAAATTTCATGGGCCTCAACTCTAGAAAAGAACTACAAGTAAGTAAGAATGCTGAGAGCAGCAGGGGAAACAAATTTCTTCAGGGAAAAATGTGTAAATTCCTTATCTATTACCAAGTGGTCAGTCTTGAAACCGTATATATACAAGTAATACTATACAGACTGGGCAGGCTGTTTATATATTGAGCAACACATACACACATAAACAATAAAAAAAGTAGAGGAGAAAGACAACAGAGAGGGATGTGTGGAAAGTGATGGAGAGAGGAAAGGGAAGAGAAAATAAAAAATATGTATTTTTTTATTGAGTATTTATTTATTTATGTATTTATTAAATTACACTCTTTGTATCCAAATGTGATATTAATCACATTTGTGGTATTTGTAGATTACATTTGCAGTATTCATTCAATTATATATATAAATTTAATTTTAAATGTCAAATGTCATTTCTTGAAGGGGGTAAGAGGTCTTAATCACAGGCTTACAGCACAATGGGAGGACCCTGGAGGGCAGAAGTTTGCTACTGATGTTTTAGAATCTTGCATCTAAGCTGTTAATGCCCATTATTCAGGATACACAGACAAAGAACTTCCCTTAGGAATTCAGGAGGGTGGAACCTGTCAGGGAATTAGCATTCGGAGGATATCAAGGTCAAGGTCTGCAAGCAAGGCAACAGTTACCCAAAACGGGGGCCAGGGACCTTCAGGTTCCCCTTTTATTAAAAAATGAGCTTCTGACTTGGGTTGCGTGGGATGTCAGCAGGTCACCTTACCCATCGTGGAGACGCCTGCCCAGGCTACACAGGTGCTCTATCTTAGGTTGGTGAGTGCCCCCCAGGCATTACCCATCTCTGAATACTCATTATCATACTGGCTCAATCATGTGTGAGCTGCATGGTTAATTGCTGCCAAAGATCTCAAAGTGGCACTGGGCTTGCAATCTGTGTGTTTGATACAGAAAAGACCAGCAGAGGTCCTATCTCACCCATAGCCAGTAGACTAAAGGCAACTGAGCCATTCCCTTCCTTATAGAGCCATACTGTACATTGGAGTCCTTGTAAGATAGTATCCCAAAAGCAACTGGAACTTGAGTTTATAAATTTATAATTTTCAAAGCCAATCAAGATGTATATAACTACTGAATTAAATTTATCATGCCGAATAGAATGAAAGATTAAATAACTGTAGTAGCTACTTTTGTTGCCAGGGTCTCCACTGTGTTAGCTGTAGTAAGCAGTTATAAAATGGTAATCCCAGAAACAGTAGCAGTGGTGTGCGCCATTGCTATAACAGCAACAGCGGCAGCAGCAATGTCAAATTCTCTTCTGGATTGTGTGGACATCCACTGGCGTGGATACAACTCCAGGAACACGAACCACCAAGGCCCATTTTTCTTGATCCCAGCACGACTTTGGCTGGCAGCTCTTCTGGAGAATCCAATCTCATGGCCACAGTTCCTAGGCTTATATTAATGCTTGCCAAAGCTGGCCATATTGGGTTCTCAATCTCCATTGGCATCAGAAGGGCAGATTTTTTCATGATGACCCATTAGGTCTCTGTCATGTTGGGCTTCAGCAGCAGCCACAGGGTGCTCAGGAATCCAAAGAGGAACCTCATTGTCCTGAGGAAAGTCATAAACCAAACTCCGGGGCCACACCAACACTAGATCGGGTCTCCTCCATGTGCTAGTAGAAAGATCCTTCCATCGCTCCAGAGGGTGATTTGCAACAGTATCCCTCCAGTGCTGATCAAAATATGTATTTTTTAATGTGAATTTTGGAATATAAATTGAACTTTGGGCAAAATGGAGATTGTATTGAAACATCCATATTATGACTGTTTAAATATCTAGACATTCACTACACAAATACTTGAATTTGAAGGTGGGCAAAAAATAAAATCTTTCCTCATTGGCCTTAAAAGAAAATAGAAAAGAAGTGGCCTGAGAGATAACTCAATAGTGAACAGCACTGGCTGCTCTTTCAGAGTACTTGAGTTCAATCCCACATGTCAGCTCACAAGCTTCTGTAACTGAAGTTCCAAGGGATCAACGGTCATCAGGCACCCATGTGGTGACACATGCAGACAAAGCATTCATACCCATAAAATAAATAAATAAAATAAAGAATTTTAAAACATGGAAAAGAAATTCCCAATTGTGATGAGTTAACGCACAGATTCACACTAGTTGTTCTTTTCTGAAGTTTTATTTTATTTTACTTTTTTGCTATGTATATGTATGTGTTAATATATGCAAATGTGTGTAGGTACCCATGGAGGCCAGAAGGGGACATCTGATTCTCTGGAGTTAAAGTTACAGGCAGTTGTGAGCTTCTCAGCATGGGTACTAGGAACAGAATCTGTGTCTTCTGGAAGAATAGCAAGTGCTCTACTTGAGCCATTTCCCCAGGCACCTATACTAAATTAATGGTATAAGCTACTGAAAAGCAATGCATAAGTAGAAATTCTAGAATGAATTATAATCCAATCATCAAATTCTCATAAAATCAAATATTATTTTAGTCTGATCTAATGAAATTTTTCCCACTGGTCAGCCTCTGTCCCTCTTCTACAATACTCGCCCTGTTCTATGTTACCTTTACTCTGAATTTCTGAGACCAAACTTTTAAGGTTCTGCATATGACCTCCTTCAGTATTTATTTATTGAGCCTGGCTTATTTCACTTAACATAAAATGCTATAATCCCACCCATGTTGCTACAGTTGAGAAGCTTTTTTGTTTTCATTTGTGTCCACCAATCTATTCATTTTCTTTGTCCCTTTAATAGTTTGGAATTAGGCTTCATTCCTCGAATGTTAATAGTGCTGCAATAAACATGGGAATACAGATGTCTCTTTAACATACAAATTTCATCTCGTTTGAATACATAACCATACAGTAGTTAAATTTTCAATGTTTTCTAGGAGTCACCATACTGTTTTCAATAAATAAAGACAATAACATTGGCTTTAGCAATACTACAGTGCTTATTGCAGTACTGGAATTCCCATTAGTTACAAATGAAAAGCGATAATTAAATATAAATGTGTAGTTATTTGGATACAAAAGGGGACATTGTGGAGATGAAGAGAAATGACTGCTAGATTCTGCCTCTGCCTTGCTTTGCCCCTTCCCCAAACACAGGCCATGGGCTGCCAGGAGACTGAAGGCGGTTGGATGTAACTGGCACTGTAGATGCTGATATATTCTGTTCTGTGCCAGAGCAGTCTCTTGGCTATACCCACAGCAGTGTTGCCCAAACAGAAGATCTTCTGTTTTAAGGCTGAGTATGGCAGTGATTCCAGTCTTTCGCCTTCTTTTACCATTTAAATCAGTAGAAAACATTTCCATATTTTGCTTTGTAAAGTAGTTTGAAGAGAAATGATACCTATACTTATAACCTAGGAGAGTTAATCAATCCTTGCAACAATTAAGACAATTGACAAAGTTACTTACCATTCTGCAATCTGGGATTTCAGTGTGTTGGGCTTCTTACTAAGAGGCTCATTGTTTTCATTAATGCCATCACCCTTTGGGGCCTTGTTTTCTTCTCAATGCTATTTAGAGCACTAATGCACCATGTGCTAAAATCATAGCCCTGGGTACTCAGAAGCACAAAGCAGAAGTAACAGGCTGAATCAGTACTGATCTTGGAAAACACAGTCTGCTGAGACAGAAGTCTAAGAGAAAAAATTGGCAAGAGGAGTGAAATTAGCTTCATGGAGAGTGCCTTGTGGGAATGCCACCAAGGAAACACTTGAGATAGAAGGTAAGTGATGGCAGGGTCCACTTTTCCGAGGTGACACTTTAGAGAGATTTTGGTATCTGTCTCTCTATATTGTGTTAGATGAAGATTGCCTAGATGTGGAAGGATGTGTCCTTTGTCTTTGGAGACCTTTTCAGCTGTTATACTTTGGACTGTAAACCAAGTCAGTTTTTTCCTTGCCACTGCTAATGGGAACCAAAAATACATATTTTTTCCTTACAGACAAAAAAAAAACTTACAATTATGCAAGTTTTCCTTGCCTCAGTTAAACCTTTTCATATGTAGCTGGCTCATATTTGTTAAAGCTTCATCTATATTTACTAATAGAAGCAATTCAGTGTCTGCTATATCTAATTTAAATCTAATCTCAATTCAATTATTCTGAAAAGGAATTTCAGGAAGATTCAATTAAAATAACTTTAGCATAGGAGGAACCACTAACAAAGTTATTCATAACATTAATACATTTTTAACAAGGATCACATTTGGTTCCTAATTCCAAAGAAGTTGGATAAAACAGGAGATTTAAGAGAAAACATAATCTAATCTAATGGAATAATAACACTTTAGAGAGTACAAGCAAACTGTTAGATGTAAAATGTTTAGTTTTATCACTCACTTGAGGCAGTGGGTGACAAATGGGTATGTCATAGTCTTACTTAGTTATTGCTGCGAAGGGACATCATGACCAAGGCAACTTATAAAAGAAAGTATTTAGCTCAAGACATTGTGCTGGAATGGTAGTTGAGAGTTTACATATAACCAACAAGTTGGAAGTGAAGAAAAAGAGGGAGAATAGAATTGATGTAGAATTTTGAAGCTTCAAAGTTGACCCCCAATGACATGCATCCTCCAAGAAGGCCACACTTCACAATCTTACCTCAAAAATTTCTACCAAACAGAAACCAAATATTCAAATATATGAGCCTATGCAGGACATTTTCATTCACATCACCACAGGGTGGTATTTTTTACATCAGATTATATTGGATGTGGGAAGTTTATGTTTATATAGAATATATTCTGAGATGGAAAAAGTGATTTGAATTTGTCTTTAAGAGAAAACTGTATTTCTATCTAGAATTTTTTGCTTGTCTACAACTGGTCAAGTGATGTGGACTGTGACTCTGTGGATGGTTTTATTTATCATTAGAAATACCTCATGACCAGGAATTTACACAGAGCAAATCCTACTACTGGTGGATAATTTTATGTCAACTTGACTTAAGTTACAGTCATTTGTGAAGAAGGAACCTCAACTAAGAAAATGTATCCACAAGTTGGTTTTTAGGTAAGTCTTTAGGACATTTCTTTCATCACTAACTAAATTCCTAGTCTAAATAGAATTTAACCTACCATGTTGAGAAACAGCCCTTCTGTAGATAGTTTAAGCAACAAAAGATCTTTACCCAAACTCTTTCCAGTTGAATCATTTTCTTTGAAGCAAGAATGCCTGGCATTTTCTCATTACTCTTCAGGCTGCATGATTAAGAATTAGACACAAGATTAATGATGAATAAGTAGTTGGTGATTTATTACAACAAGGAGAGAAGACTGAAACTTGTCACTATTTCTTCATTGACATGCAAGCGTCATCATTAGTGTTCAGTTGATTATACTGTTAGCACCAATCAGAAATAAGATCTGTGGCTATGGTAGCCCTTCAGTACCTCGGGTCAATGAGGTAAAAGGCAGTTTCCACTTGGATATATATATATATATATATATATATATATATATATATATATATATATATATATATATATATTGCATTATGATACAAAGGAGTTATATTTAGTTAGAGGAGTAGACAAATCTCTTAGGTCAGATAAATACTGTTGGAGTAAGTGTGACACTGATAAAATGTCACCACTTCATTGTTTCATACTAAAAAGTAGATCTGATAGGAAATATTTGACCTCTTTATACCTTCTTCACTGAAAGCTAGTTAGAATTGATGGAAATATTTTATTAGTGAAATGTCTTTGCATTTTATATCATGGTAAATATTATATGTACCAGTAGAACATCAAATATTCTTTTGCATTTTGTAAGATGAATTGCTAAGTGGTCTTATTAATAAAAAACCCAGAGCCAGATATTGGAGTGAAAACTGAGAGATCAGAGAAGCAGATTAATGACAATAGAATAGCTCCTTAATTTTGGTTTTCTTCTGCCCCCTATCATATGGCTCTTCTGACATGATACAGATATTTTGCATATTCCTTTTAACAAACATGTTTGGGTTTAGAGAAGGAAAGAGCCATGCTCCAACTTCAGAGCCAGCTTTAATTTTTAATTGATCTGGGACTACATAAAGGCCATTTGTGTTAAGTGTCTGTAGAGAACAGTAGAAACATTTAGGAAGACTTATAAAATTTTATATGTGATATAACAATAGGCTAATTTTATCTTTTTCTTGGGACATCTTTTCTGGATGATTTATCATTTTTCTTTAGATGTCTCAGTTGTTCAGTGTTCTTCAGATTCCTTAGCCTTCATTCTTCTGAAATACAAAAACAAAAACCCTTCCTCAAACCTAACTTTGGGGAGGTTCCCTTTTGGCAAGTTATATCTGATTAAATGAAAAGCATTTATTAGTGGTATAAGTTAATTTAAACTGAATTGTCATGCTGACCAATGAAATATGACTTCTAATTAAGAGGTCTGTCATGTTCAAATTGAACAATAAATTCATCAATTTTGGTAGTATCTATAGCTTTTCTTTTCCACAGAAACAAAAGCAAAATCTTGTCTCCAATGTAATACATATCCTGGATTCCATTCTGAGGTCAACACATCTTTAAGGTATACAGGCTGATTTAATTGTGTAGTTTTTTCTATTATCCAATGTCTCTCTGCAGCTGTTGTTCCTTTCTCATTAGCATTGAGAAAATTCAAGATAATGGAGTATTATGTAATCTATTTCTGGGAGTTGTTGCTACCCCTTTTTGTTTATTTAGAATATCCTTCAGAGTTCAGTTTGATCTTTCTATGACAGCTTGGCCTATAGAATTGTGTGGTATACCTATAATATGCTTTATATTGTAATAAGCAAAAAAAAACTGTTTCATTTTACCAGAGACATATACTGAACATTGTCAGTTTTAATTTGTGTAGGTATACCCATGATGGCCATAACTTAACAAATGTATTATTACAGAATCAGCCTTTTTTGAACTCAAAGCAGTTGCTTATTGAAATCCTGAATAACTATTAATGGTGTGATGTACATTTTTCAATTTTCCAAATTCTACAAAATGAAACACATCCATCTACCAGATTTCATTCCTCTGAATACCCTTTGGGTTACATCCTGCTGGTTGTGGAGTTTGATTGTAAAAAAGAAAAGTAGGACATTTCCTTATAATTACCTTGGCTTGTTGCCAGGTTATGAAAAAAATCCTTTTGTAAATCCTTACTATTGACATGATTTTTTAATGAAATTCTTAGGCCTTCAGCACATTTTCTATCAGTAGTTTATCAATCTCATCATTATCTTGTGCTAGAGGTCCTGGCAGACAGTATGGAATTGGATGTGCATTATATATAAGGGATGATTCCTATTTTTGAATATCTTGTAACTGAATAAATAGTGAAGTTAATTCTGACTTATCAGGGATAAATTCTGCTGTTTTAATATGTAAGACCACTCTGAGTAACTATGTTGAGAGTTTTCAGAAAATCCATTAATACCACAAGAATAGCATACAATTCCAGTTTTTGAACCGAATTATAATGACTTTGAACCACTTTACTTAAACTTTCTGATATGTAACCTGCCTTTCCTTGTTTGTTTGCATCTGTATAAAATGTAGGGGTTCCAGATATTGGTGTTTCCTATATAATGTGAGGCAGGATCCAATTAGCTATCTTTTTAAGTTTAATCCTATTACCTTTGGGATATTTGTTGTTAATCTCTCCCAAAAAGATTACTACAAGCTCTTTGCCAAGGTTCACTTTCTGCCCATAATTTGTCGATTTCAACATTAGTTAAAGGTACTACAATTTCTGCTGTGTCTATTTCTGCTAATTGACAAAGTCTCAATTTTCCTTTTAAAATCAACTCAGAGAATTTTCATCATAATTTTTCAATTTTTTGCTCTGTTTATTTGGTAGAAATATCCATTCTAATATAATGTCTTCCCTCTGCATTAAAATTGCTGTAGTAGAATGCTTAGAGGGTAAAATAGCCAAAATGCAATCAAGCTTTGGATTTACACCATCCACTTGTGCATCCTATATTTTCTATTCTACCAAAGCCAATTTTCTCTCAGCCTCAGCTCATAATTCTCTTGGTCTATTTAACTCTTTATCACCCTCTAAAGTTTTAAACAAGTTACTCAGTTCATCATTTTTTATCCCAACAGTGGCACATAGATAGGAAATGTCTCTAAATAATCTTTGAAAGTCATTAAGAATCCATAATCATTCTCTACTGATTTGTAATTATTGGGGTCTAATTTTTGTAGACCTATTTTATTTCCTAAGTATTTAATAGAATCTCCTTTTTATATCTTTTCAGGAGCAATTTGTAATCCCCAACAAGGCAAAATTTTCTTTACTTCTTTAAAATTCTTTCTAAATTATCTGCAATTGAATCAGCTACTAAAATATCATCCATGTAATGATAAATTATATATTTAGGAACTTGTTTATGTATTACTTCCAATGGCTGTCATGCAAAATATTGGCACAGGGTTAGGTTATTTAACATTCTCTGTGGGAGAACCCTCCATTGATATCTCTTAACCGGCTGAGAATTATTATAAGTAGGCATTGTGAAGGTAAATCTTTCTCTGTCTTTTTGTAAGGGTATTGCGAAGAAACAGTCTTTTAAACAGATAACTGTAAGAGGGCATCCTTTAGATAACAGAGTAGGCAAATAAATTCCAGATTGTGGAGATCCCATTGGCTGAATTACCTTGTTAATTGCTCCTAAATCTGTTACCATTCTCTACTTACCAGATTTCCTTTTAATAACAAATACAGGAGAATTCCAAAGGCTAGTTGATTCTTGAATATGCTGAGCATTTAACTGCTCTTGTACCAGCTCTTCCAAGGCCTGCAGTTTCTCTGTTGTTAAAGGCCATTGATGAACCCATACAGACTTGTCTGTTAATCATTTAAAAGGCAGAGCAGTTGGTGTCATTGAGAGATCAGCAGCTGTTGTACCCTGTTCTTGTACAATCACGATGGCCAGTGAGTGTTTTTTATAATACCTTCTAATTTTTTTCTCAGAAAAATTTGTTATTGTATGGTTTGTTTCTAAGGTTGGAAGAATGTTAATTTGGGTATTTCATCATTGTAATAAATCATGACCTCATAAATTCATTGCTATATTAGCCACATATGACTTTAATTTTCCTCTCTGTCCTTCTGAGACTACACATTTGACCCATCTTGCACTCTGTTTCACTTGAGATAGTGTTCCAATCCCTAACAGCTGAACATTTACCTCCAGAAAAAGTCAATTTTGATGTCAACACTCTGGTGCAATTATTGTGAGGTCCAAACCTGTGTCTATAAGACCCTCAAAGAGAATATCATTTATTCATATTTTTAATTTTGGTCTTTGTTCACTTATAGAAATTTGTCAAAACATTTGCCTTATGGTTTCTCTTGAATTTTTTGTGCTTTCTTCTATAGCTGTTCTATCACCCCAAGCAGTATGTTTTTTGTTTGTTTGTTTGTTTGTTTGTTTGTTTGTTTTACAATAGGCAATTGGTTATTTGACTTCTCTGAGAAGGTGTTCCTTCTGTGATTGTAGGAAAGGACTGAACAGAATTTGCCATGGGTGCCTAGGAGAGGACACCCAGGGAGTTTCCTGACTGCAAAGGCAAAGGATTATCTTGTCTGTCCATTGTTGATCTACATTTGTTATTTCAAAGTTTACCTTTACCACACCTTCTGCATAATCTAGAAGGGAGGGGCATTCTGTTGCCATAGTTCCTTGAAAAAAACATTGTTTCTAGGAATCCTTGCTTACAGTCCCTTTTTAGGTGACCTTGTTTACTGCAATGAAAGCATATGACATCATTATTTTTCTTCAAACCTCTGGAAATCACCTCTTCTATCCAACTATCATCATGGTCATGAGATTCAATATTAATTGTATCTTGGATCCATTCCTCCAAGGATGCTGATCTTGTCTTTAATGGCCTAATTACCCCTTTTCATGATGCATTAGCATTATCAAAAGCCAAAGATTCAATTATTATCTGTCTAGCTTCTGAATTTTGTATCATTCTATTTACTGCTGAAGATAGCCTTTGTAAGAAATCCACGAAG